ATACTGACATAAATGAACATTTGCACGATATTCTAATTTTTCGAGTTTCACCTGTACAGTAGTGAGGCAATGACTTTCCATGATTTCCAAACTATATTTCAATTGATAAAATTGTGCTTCACTTTTTAGTCGCCGTTACTATTGTTGCTATTATTTAGACTTATATCCTGCCTTTTTTATCAGGAGCACAAAACAACTTAAATAGCTTTTCCTTTTCCTTTCACTACAACAACCAAACCTGAGAGGTAGGTTGGGCTGAAAGATAGTGGCTACATTTGTACAACATGCTTAACTTGTTTACAAAGTTAACCACTTTCTGAGTTCACACAACACATTAAGCTACCAAAAAAACAACAACCCGGACCTATGTTAATACTGACTAAGCTCAGCAAGCTGTGTAAATGCATCCATTTGCTTGACCTCATTACACCTATTGCGTCATGGGCCAAAAGTCACTGAGTGAACTTCCATGGCTGAGGTCAAACTGAGGTTTGAACTCCTTGTTCCTAGGCCAATATTTTAAATGCTACACTACATTAGCAACGTTGTTGTTCAGATATAGCAGGCATAAGAAACCTCCAACCTGCCAGGTTGGCCTTCTAGCCCTTGAGATCTCACAAGAGGCAGAAGCCCAAATTCTCCAACATCACAACAGCATCACTTGCCAAACCACCTACAACTCATTTTGGCTGCTCCATGCCTTGTCTGCAGGAGTCAGAAGCCAGGAGACTGGGGCACTTAAAGGGTGATGATACTTCAATGACCCACACATTCTCCAACAAAGTAAAGTGTCTAGGGCACTTGAAGATGTTCTATGTAGAATAAAGCAAGGAGAAGTGAGAGAGGAAGGAAGCTCACAGAACTTTGTGTCTCTGCATGATCCTCTCAAACCTCAAAAGTACATTACTTCCTATTAAATATTGCACGATTTTTTATTTCTTATTGAAGTTTCATGTTTTCAGAAAGGCCAACTGAGAACTTTTAGTATGTATAAAGAGAGAGAAGTGAAGATTAGCAAATATTCCTCCTGGCAGTGAAAGGAAGCTTGCTTATCTTATGCTTATGCTCCAATCCATTTTTATTGTACCCAACAGCATACATAATGTGAAAATATTCCTTCTGTACCTTTTCTGTGAGGAAAAACATCTACTTATACAAATGTATCTAGTAACATTCTCTGCAAATCACCTTTTATGAGGTTTTTAAGAATCATTTAAATAACATTCTAAACCAAATCTATATAACTCACCAGTTGCCATAACAACTAGATTATCTCTTCTTTCTTGCAAAACTGAGGAGATCACTTTCCACTGGACCCTTGAAATTAAGGAAAGACCATAATAAAAATGTTCCATTTCAGCTGTAACACATGACAAGAGCTGAATCTCATAATGGGAGACTGCAAACGGAGATGCTTTTTTTGGTGATCAATTGTTGGTTCTCTTTTCCACATACAGGTAGTCCTCACTTACCAACCATTCATTCAGCGACCACTCAAAGTTAATCCGGTGCTAAAAAAGTAACTTTTACAGCCCATTTAGGACCTTTGCAGCATCCCTCAAGAAAGTAAGCTGTTTGCTCTTCTACACATCGAAAGCAATGCGATCCTGCCAGCATGGGGCTGGGAGCCACAAGTGCGCTACGCAAAGAGCTTACAGTACTTTCTTGAAATCTCTTTCTCTCCAATCTCTCTGCTCTGCAAGGGGTAGGAGAAAAAGAACAAGCAATTTCTGCAGGCACTCTCTCCTTTTTCTGACCATCACCCCCCTCCCCCACAGAACAGACAGATTGGAGAGGGATTTCAAGAGATCAAGCTGTTTGCTCTTCTACACATCGAAAACAATGTGATCACACTGGCAGCAGGAAATGATCAGGCAAAGGAGAGATTAACTACAGAAATCACTTGCTTTTTTTCTCCTAGCCCCCCTTTGCAGAGTGGAGAGATTAGAGACAAAGCGATTTCAAGAGAGTAAGCTGTTTATGTAGCATGCCCATGGTTCCCAGCCTCGGGCTGTAGCACAATCAAACTGCTTTCAATGTGTACAAGACAGGAAGCATGCACTCAAGCATTCCAAAGGGCAGGGGAGTGGTTAGGAGGCAAACAAAAGCTGAAGGTATGACACTGAGTAATCTTATCTCTTTCCAACCGGAAAGCACAGTCACAGTCATGTGATTTCCCACTTAGCAACCGCTTCGCTTAGCGGCAGAGTTGCCAGTCCCAGTTAGGGTTGTTAACTGAGGACTACCTGTATATATCCTGAATATGAATATATTTTGTTTTATGACGTGCAGTTTTCAAGATGGCAATTTATTACATCTGCCGGAAGAATCAAAATCTTTTGAGGCAAAATCCCCACATAATTTATTTAGAAGAAAGACTTGTTTGTTATTTTCAAATAATTTCCCTTTAAAATGAGAGGCCCATCTTAAATAAGTTTGGAATATTAGAAAAGAGGCAGATAAGACTTTCTGGATTTTCCTTTATGAGAAGAACCTTAAATTTGCAGTTCTCTTCCTTTTGGGAAAAGTCTTTTAGCCTATTTTTTTTAAAAAAATAAAACTTACGGTTTAAAACTTGAGTGACCAAAATACATCTTTAGACAAGCGATTTGCTCAGTGCTGGGTTTAGGCAAGCAGGAATCTTTGAAAAAAAGAAAACAAAAATACTGAAATAGAGAAAATACAAAAAACAATGATAGCTATAAAAACAGTTCATGTAAGTAGTTACTTAAGATAAAAGCTGACTATTAAGTTTTTAAATGTTATGCATACTACATACTAGCAAAGTGTAGCTTCCTATCACAGGGATATTGTGTAAGAAAACTAGATACAATATAACTAGAGGTTAAAGACTTTTAAATTCTCTTTCCTCAGAAAGTTAACATACATGCTTAATTTTCCCACTGACAGCATAAAATTTAAAGCTGGCTTGAGTGCATCAAGCCCACTATTTGCTTAAAAAAACTTATGAGTAACACCAGTGACTGGGATCATATACTGCATTAAGCCATAACATTAACTCCCAATGTGGTTTGTTTGGTTTTGGCTAAGGATGATCTGTAAACAGAATCAACAAACAGATCAGAGGCTGAGTTAGCATACAGTGCTGAGCTGGAATATTTTTTGAACCATGGCTTGTTGAAACACAACATCCTGTTTCACCCATTATGCTAAACCATAATGAGTGGATTCACACATCACACTAAGCAAAAACCAAACATTTTGATTCACATTATTGTGAACCAAGCCGTAGCATGCTCAGCAAAAACTTTGGCTGCTGCTGCTGCTGCTGCTCCTCCTCCTCCTCCCAAATTCTAAGCAGCAGCTTCCTCATATTTTACAGAACATTGCTTTTCAAATATTTCCCTTAGCTGCTAAAGTCTAAAGTCTCCTTCAACCATCAGAACTACTTGAGAGGATCTTTAGAGATATGCTTATTCATCTGTATGCATATACGTGAGCATAGAGAAGTACAGATACTCTAGTGTGCTGACAAGTTAAACTTTAGATCACAGTTAAATATTTACCCCATCTTTCCTCTTCCTCTTCAATGCCCTCTTCTCCTTCATCCTCTGCAGCATGGTCATTTTGCTTCTCTAAACCACCCAGGGTAGAATTCACATATTTCAAATTGCTCTGGTCTGCATCTTCTAAAGCCTGGAGCAGAGAGAATGAGATTTTGCAACTTCTGATCTAAAAGAATCAGGGGTATACTATTTTCTGAAGGTCCTTTTTTATTTTTAATAGAGAGAGAGCCTAAGTACAGTAGCCATTCTAGATAAAGTTACTTTATAAACAAATATAATTTGTGAAGACCTCACAGCTCCCATACATTTAGGTTTTCCACACTGCTGTTAAAAGCATGGGAGAGTGAAAGGCAAAGCTATCCAATAATCCCCCTCAGTGGAAAGGCATTTTATTTCAGGCATTTATTAAAAATGGTACCTATTTTTATTAAAACTCATGAACACTGTTAGCTTATCACAGCAAGCCCACTTATTATTTCTAACATACAAGCCTGCTCCACTGGCTTTTTCTACTCAGAACAGGCTCAAGAAAAAAAATCTTTTTCACTTCTTTCTTTTGCTTGTTCTAAGAGGAAAATGCTAAAGGTTCAGGTCTGCGTTACTTGCTAAACAAACGCTGACTGGAGCCATGTGTGATTTGTTGGCTATACTAGAGATGGAATTTGGGCATGCAAAGCATGTGCTCCACTGTTGAGCATAAAGTTATGTCCTTTCTCTCCAATTATAATTGGTTTCCAACCTGCAGGAAGGGAAGAATGGAGGAAAGCATATTGCCAAGTTGCATAGCAACTACCAGGAAATATGTGGCTTTCTGTTTCCAGTTCACAAGTGTGGTGGTAAAATGTACCCCCCTCATACACACGCAATCGGCATTCGCTACTAATCCTATAAGATGCCCCCCCCACATGTGAACTGCTTAAAACGCCCTTGTAATAAAACATTCACAGCAAGCTGAATTGAACCTGAGTGGGGAAGAATCAGACTGGAACCAGTGACCCAAGAAACCGCATTTTTTATATTCACTGACCATTTCTCAAAGATAGGATAGCTAGCATGTTGACGTAGTAGGGAGGGATAAATAATAATAATGTCACCAAGATGGGTTTGTCAAAAACATACCAATGTCATGCTGTAATTTACACCGTGTCTGCCTTTTTCATTTTGTCTTTGTAATGTACAGTATGTAAGTTATGGTTCTGCTTTTGTTCAGGGCTGCTCAGCAAGTTGTCAGTGTTTTGCTGGGAGGCTGATGTGCACTGCAGTCGTTTGCATGCCTCATGAATTTACTTAATAAACCTTCAAAGAGATTTGGTTGATTTAAGTGAGCTAGGTTTTGGCCACAACATACGAAACAGAGTTTCAGGAAGATCATGGAAAAAGAATTCTCCTTCTACACATCTGTCCAGAACACTGGCATGTTACCATAGCCCCTTTTGTTCAACATACTGCACATACACTGCAAAATCAAGGCTGTTACTGATATTATGATTCCCTACCCCTTTGCTAAAAGATACTAAGGGAAACAAGGAAGAAACAATATCTGAAAAACAAAGTATCATAGCACTGTATGGCTAAAGTTGACTGAAGTGCAATTGGACTGTTTCTAGGCAAGAATGATATGCAATAGCTATTCCAATCCTGCCCATCAATTGCTTATTTAACATAATTAGTATTCTATTCATTAAAAAATTAGAAACATTTACATTCTTAAACTGTATACCTCTTTAAAAGGTTTGAGAGAGAGAGAGAGAGAGA